CGCATCACTTGCTGCAACATTACGGGATCAAGGTGAACAAGGTTGTATCGTACCCCGGCGAGTTTGTGGTGACATACCCTTACGGCTACCATTCGGGCTATAATCTGGGCTACAACTGTGCCGAGGCCGTCAATTTCGCCCTGGACACTTGGCTAGAGATGGGCAAAATTGCCAAGAGATGCGAATGCGCACAAGCTCAAGACAGTGTTTGGATCAATGTTTACGAAATTGAGCGGAAACTTCGCGGGGAGGAAACAGAATATGAGGAGACGGAGGACGAGGACGAAGAGGACGACGAGGATGTATCTGGCTTGCCCACGCCGCCAGCGACCAACGGTGTCAAATTCAAGGATGCAAGCAGGAAGAGAAAACGAGGTCAGGGCGAAAAGAAGACCAGAGTTAAGAGGGTCAGGCTACGACTCAAGACTAAAGTGGAACCACCATGCTGTCTCTGCCCCAACGATATTCCCCATTTCGACATCCTTCCCACAGCCGATGGTCGCAAGGCTCACAAGCTGTGCGCCCTCTACATTCCCGAAACGTACATAGATTCTGTGGATGGCAAGGAGGTCATCTGCAACGTTGAAGCAGTGCACAAGGATCGACTGAATCTCAAGTGCTTACTCTGCCGCTCGAGACGCGGTGCTTGCTTCCAGTGCTCTCACCAGAAATGTGCAAGGGCCTATCACGCGACGTGCGCGGCTGCGGCTGGCGTTTTTGTTGAAGATCAAGATATTCCTGTCTTTGGAGAAGATGGTACAGAATACAAGGAGCAAGCTTTCGAGTTCAGTTGTCGGTTCCACCGAGTGAGGCGGGATAAGAAGACCGATGGCGACGCCCTAGAAATGGACACCAACATTCGGAGCGCAGCCAAGAAGCTCAAGACCGGCGAAATCTGCCAATTGCAGTACCTCAAAGGTGAAATCTTTGCCGGTGTCATTGTCGAAAACCGCCTGCAAGAGGAGACTCTCTTAATCGATCTACTTCCTCAGGGGTACGTATATGCATTCAACTTACCAAACCAGCATCGAATGCTAACTTGTCAAAGTGAACAATTGGAAGTCGAATGGAAGTGGCTGGTTCTACCAGATCCGGCCGATTACCATCTCCCAAAGGCATCAGCAAAGGCTTTGCCCATGCCAGCTTCCCGCAAGGCAAAGGATAAACTGAATACCAAGAGAATTCATGCCGATAAACCAAGAAAGGATGACTTGTTTGCCGAAGGCTACAGATGGGCAGAATTTGAGCTTTACGAAGCTTCAAACAAGGGGCAGGCTAAAGTCGACTTCAGCAAGTCAGATCAAATCTGGCACTATCTCGGCAAGACATCGACAGAGGCGAGGGCACAGTATACGGAGGACCCTACACAGCAACGCCACAATCCGAAAAGCAACTTTTTGGATACGATACCCAAGCCTCCCAGGCCAGTCCCTACCTCCAAGCCCACGTACAACCACCAGTCATACCTTGCCAAAGCCATGGCTTACTCTTACAGCCTTGCGGGTAACTACACCGCTGCAAGCGAACAAGTTTCATTTGAGAAGCCTTATATATATAAACCCCGAAAGCCGGCTGAGGCTAATTTCACGAAGCCCACGACGTTTGCGAACCAAGGCTGCGCTGCTGCCCATACATCTTCAGTTGGCTCAGCACCAGTATTCCATACTTACGATCATCAAACGGCGAACTTCCGACCGCAACCCACATTGACACACAGCATGCCGCAGAACCACAATGCGGCACCCGTGCAAATCATGCCACACGTTCAGATGCCCCAGGCGGCAGGAAACACATTACCTCAAAGCCGTCAGACTGCTTACCAAAAGCCTGCCAACACACCATCTGCTCAGCATAGCAAGCCTGTATGGCAAGTCCACTCGTCGGTGTATCAAAAATACCCCTTCTTCCAAGTGAATTACAATAGGTATGTGTTGAACAGTTCCCAGAGGGGTTGTGCAGACTAACACCGCATAGGGATTTTTCTAGATATCGGACTCCATACTCTCCGTGGGGTGGCTTTACGAATGGATACGAAGGAAACCTCCGAGCCCATTTGATGGCAACCCAGCAGAATTCAATACAACACCCGACGTTTGGTGGGACTCCTGGACCCCAAGGGCACGTACAACAAGTACAACAATCACCGGTAGGACAGCCAGTACACCAAGTGCACCAGATGCACCAAGCACAGCCAATTCAGCAAGTTCAGCAAGTTCAGCAGTCGTCACTCCCTCAGGCACCTAAGCCGAAGCCAGCGCCAGCGGCAAAGCCCTTCAAGGTTGGACTTCCCGCCGCTTTTCATATCTCCCTACAAACGACTAAATCAGCTATGCAGGTTCCAGCAAAGGTGTCTCCAGTGCCATTGCCGCCAAATGTTCTCGCTGCCATGGCCAAGGCTTCCGAGGGCCAACAGGCGCCAAGACCGGAGCCAAGGCCGCTGAAGGATCAATCTCAGTCATCACAGACACGCTCGGTGGAACCGACACCGCCATCAAATCAACCATCTGTAAAGCCGTCAGGTTCTGAACCGGCGTGGGCAAATCAACCCCAACTGGGGTTCTCAGCCATTCCTGTTACGCAACAACAGCACTCTGGACGAGACAACTCGTTGACGCCAGTGGGACTAACACCTCAAGAATTCACTGATGTCCCTGGCTCAGAATCTATGCAATTTGTGGAACGCATGATGCAGAACTTGCGTAGAGCGTCCATGAATGGGAGAGACGGGCAGGACGGACATACAAGGGGATAGAACTAACGGAATTGTAACACTATTATGTGAAATATACCGGGGGCAGATTCTATCCTGTCCACCAGGCAAATCGATACCCATTCCCTTGAAAATATGTTATAGACGAATGGGAGGTATTACCAGGATTACACAGACGGCGTTGGACAAGATGGCGTTGCACGGAGGCTTGCTTTGTCTCTTCTTTTTTTTCTGCTTTATTCTTCGGATGGGGAACGACATAGTTTACGACAGGGAAAAAGGCATGAATGGGTCGGCAGTCGGCAGGGTCGGGGTGGTTACGTGAGCTATGTACATTATGCCGGCTTGTGCTCAAGCTCGATTATCCAGGTATTTAGTAGCAAACAAGGAGCTGCATTATCCGACATGGCTATCGATGGCTTTGACCAACGTGTTAACTCACACGAATCTGAGTTGTATCGCGCAAACGGCCGTGGGAGCCTCGCAGCTGCCAACAGTGCCAACAGCGCCTGTTTAATTAACCAGTTCCCGGGGACGTAACTCGTGCAGCTTTCCTCATTCACGAGAAATCTTCCTGGAGTTCTCTTCACCGCCACACAGCTATCGAAAATGAACACCAGTGAAGCCGCCGCCTGGTCCGACGACGACGCGGAGCGAGCAAAGATCGAGAACCGCGGGCTAAGCACTACCAAATACGTTCGCGGAAGTCGTCTGGGACTCGGCGGCTCCAGCATCGTGTACAAGACACTGCGCGTCAGCGACGGCAAAGTGCTTGCCGGGAAGTCGTCCAAAGCACCCAAGGGCCTGAAGAGGGAGGCGGGCATTCTGAGGCTCCTGCAACATGTACGTTTCCCTGTCTAACTCCTCGCTCTGCCGGCACCCGGCCTCTAACGCTTTGCCCGGCCCCGTACCAGGAGCACATTGTGGCGTTCGTCGAACTGTACCACGACCCCGTCTGTCCGGTGTCCGGCCTGCTCTTGATGGAGCTTTGCCCTCACGGCACGCTCCAGACGCGGATCGACCAAGCGACGCCTCACATGGCGCGGGGAGAGGTGCTCAGCGTGGTGCGGCAGATTGCGCGGGCTCTGGCGTACATGCACGCGCGGGGGATGTACCACTCGGATGTGAAGCCGCGCAATGTGCTCATACGAGACTTTGACCCTGTTCACGTCGTGCTGGCGGACTGCGCGGACGTCAGGATGCTGGGGCAGCCGGGCCAGTTGAAGGGAACGCCGGCGTATTGGTCGCCGGAGATGAAGGCGAGGAGGGCGCATTGTGGTCCTGCCGACGACATGTGGGCTTTGGGGGTGACGCTTCTGGGCATGGTTGGGCAGTGGCCGCAGATGGTGTATACCGTGATGGATCTGGAGGTCTATCCGAGGAGGTGCTTTGAGCATGCGTGCAGGCTGGGGGAGCTGAATCCGGGCGTGGGAATTGTGAGCTTGTTGACGGGACTGTTGGCTTGGGAGGCGGAGGAGAGGATGAGGGCTGAGGAGTGTGTGCTTGCGGTGGAGGAGTTGGGAGCGGCGGAAGGAGGAGAGGAGCTTGGGATCAGGTCGCCCGAGGCATTTCGGCCCATGTTGTTTTGGTGAAGATGATGATCATGGGTGGAGTTTTGTGTCATGTGATATATATACGATGCCTTGCCAATCGAGGAGTGAGGACTTGGTTACTGGTACCTGATGCGTCAGCTTTACACAAGGCCAATTAAGCTGTGGCATCTAATATGGAAATAATGGATTCAATGTTGACTGGATTCCTGCCATGGTGCATTGGGGTTATTAATTTATACCACACTAAAAGGTGGGTTGTGTATAGGGTGGGCAGACAAAGACCAGATGCCGACAACTCAAACGGTTTTTCCTGTATATGTCCGGTATAATTGTCCCGCCGCGTTACTCCGTATTTAGTCGGCCGACTTTCCACCAGCGCGGAGCAAATGCCGCCCTTACCCGCCACGTCTGTATTCCCGACCAGGGCGTTGACGACATTTTATGCTCCTCCCGTATCCACGCCTTTTTCTTACTCGCAGCCAATCTTAGTCATCTCATCCACGTCCGACATCGCGCCCTGCCTCACCTGCCTCGCAAATCACCCCAATGGAAGTGGGTGATTGAGTTATTTACTTATTATCCGTCACCTCCTCATCCGTCGTCTCTCCGTCCGGCGATATAGTCCTCTTATCTGCCTCACAGCGGTTGGGCCCATGTCTCGCACACTCGCGCAGCCCTTCCTCAGACGCCTATTCAAACCCACACCATCTCTCACCTTTAAGCGATTTAAGAGCACCATGGAGGGCAGTAGCAAGATTAAACCCGCAGCAAGGGTATCTGGCCAGAAGCAAGATGTCTGGTACGTAATTCCTCCTCGAATCTTTTCTATTTCCCCCTCACGAGCTTACAATCCTGATGCTACAAATTTTTATTTTGAAAAGAATAAAAAGAAAAGGACAACAAGTACTAACACGCCATCCAGGTCCATCATCAACGAAGCAGCCGCCGCTTCCCCCAAACAGCCCATCGTAAACATGGGCCAAGGCTTCTTTGGTTACAACCCCCCCGACTTCATCCTCAATGCTGCCAAGGACGCTCTCGACCGCGTCGAATGCAACCAGTACTCGCCTACCAAGGGGCGGCCACGGCTCAAGAAGGCCATTGCGGATGCGTACTCGCCCTTCTGGGGTCGCAAGATTGATCCCGAGACGGAGGTTACCATTACCACGGGTGCTAATGAAGGTGCTTTTTTTTCTCCTTCGCTCCATTTCCTTTTTTGACCTTGTTGTCTGATTCTTATACCAACTGTGATAGGCATGCTGAGTGCGTTCATGGCCTTCATCGAACCTGGCGACGAGGTCATCATCTTTGAACCCTTCTTTGACCAGTACGCAGCCTAGTTACCCCGTCTCGTTTGTTTCAGCGTCCGAGGTGTAATCTGGTCTAAATGAGCGCAGGTACATAAGTAATATTGAAATGCCGGGCGGCAAAATCGTCTACGTGCCCATGCATCCCCCCGAAACAGGCGCAACCAAGACCTCGTCCGCCGCAGACTGGACGATTGACTTTGCCGAGCTGGAGAAGGCGATTACACCACGCACCAAGATGATTGTCTTGAACACACCTCGTACGCTCTGCCACCCCAACAAACAGTCAAAAAGAGAAAAAAAACCTGATATAGGTCTTGAAATAAAAACCACAACCGGTAAAGTGTACTAATATTGTTTGGCAGACAACCCCGTCGGCAAGGTGTACTCGCGCGATGAGCTCCAGAAAATAGGTGACTTGTGCGTCAAGAACGAAGTCATTATTCTGTCCGACGAAGTTTACGATCGCCTCTACTACGTGCCGTTTACACGAATGGCCACTTTGTCCCCGGAGATTGAGAAATTGACAATCACCGTCGGATCCGCGGGCAAGAACTTTTACGCAACAGGCTGGCGAGTCGGTACGTTCCGTTCCACCCTCCCCTTCTCTCCCGTTTCTCCTTTTAACTCGATTTTCTTCCCCGTCCCTCATCACTGACTTTTGTTCTTCTCTCCCCTCTCACAGGCTGGCTCATGGGCCCCGCCAACCTCATCAAATACGTCTCGGCAGCCCACACGCGCATCTGCTATTCGTCCGTCTCGCCGCTCCAGGAAGCCTGCGCCGTGGGCTTCGAGCAAGCCGAGTCGGAGGGCTTCTGGGACAAAACCATTACCGACATGAAGTCCAAGATGGACCGCTTCAATGAGATCTGGGCCGAGCTCGACCTGCCCTACTCCGAGCCCGAAGGCGGTTACTTCGTGCTCGTTAATATGAAAAAAGTCCAGGTGCCGGCCGACTATCCCTTCCCCGAACACGTCGCCAGCAGACCGCGGGATTTTAAGCTGGCGTGGTTTTTGATCCAGGAGGTGGGCGTGGCGGCGATTCCGCCAACCGAGTTTTACACCCATGCGAATGCGCACTTGGCGGAGGATTATGTGCGGTTTGCAGTTTGCAAGGACGATGAAGTTTTGGAGGAGGCTAAGCGGAGGTTGAGGGGGTTGAAGAAGTATATGCAGTGACGGGACTAGATTTACCATCCTTTCTTCCTCTCTTTTTGTCTCTTCAAGACGGATTGGACAAGTCGATAGAAATGTGTGGATAGAGTGGGAATATAGTTTGTCTTGTGATATTGGCCGTATGTTAATAGTCTGTAGTAGTGGTGCGGTCTCTAGTTAATCCATCTCATCGAAATGCACCACCTGCGGCGTATGACTCTCGTTGCCGTATACATTGCCGCCGTACAACAAGTACCCCTCTACATCGGGCTTGCCGACCTTCAAAATATCCTCCGCATCGCCATTCACCCAGACTGTTTGCATGCCCTGAATCATGTGCTGCAATGTATGGCAGTGCACCATCCACACGCCCGGCTGCTCGACTCGGATCCTCCATACCCGCCAGCCCATCTTCTCATCCGTCTTGACGGACCTCTCGTACCTGTACAGCATTGTTGTGTCCCTTAATACGGGCTGCTTCCCCTCTAGCTTCTCCTCGACGGTATCTGGATCCCAGGCACCTCTGCCGCCGCCAACGTCGTAATGGTGGATGCCGTGGCCGTGCCAAGGGTGCGTATCTAGCATACCTCCGCCCAACCCGCTTACGGACTTGCCGCCGAATTGCTGGAATACAATCTCCAAGACTTCGCCGATTTTGGCAGGATACGTTCCCGTCTTGGGGTCGATGCCGCCGTTGGCCACGGCATCTTCGTAATTGGGTAGATATGCAGACTGGTTTTGGTACAGGCTTACTAGGTACGGGGTTTGGGGAACGGTTGCCGGCAGAGCGTCAGCGTCCTCGGACCATGTATAGTTGTTAATCGTCCAGATGAAGTACTGATTCATAACGACTTGGACGTTCAGCATGACGCGTCGTGTGACTTCTTCTGCCGTCGGGAAGTTGTTAGGCTCCAATGGCTGCAGAGCGTAGTCTAGATACCCGTCAATAGTTGGCGGTAGGTTCAGTGGCGGCGTTTCTGGGTTCTTGTTTGTGGCGACGGGTTGTGAAGTCATGTTGCACGCGTTTTCGTATCTAAGGACAGCATAATTCGTCACCACTCTGTTTCGATCCCTCGATTCCAGCTGTATGTAGTAATCAAGCTGACCGTCTTCCCGCAAGTCTTGGCATGATTTGGCGTGGAACAGTGCACTGTACCGCTGCCCGGAGCCGATTTGTAGCAGGTCGACTGGGTACGGTTGGGTATATTCCCCGTCCGCTTCGATAATCTCTAAATTCCCGTGTTTTTCAAATCCTAGGAGTGCAAGACTGAGGGCTGTGGCTCCTACGAATCTGAATCTGTATGTCTTGCCCGGTTCGACATCAATTACGCTCAAAGCTCTCGTGGAGGGGTCGACAGCTCGATAGTTGGATATCGATTTGCCATTGATTAGCCAGCCCTTTGGTTCTCCGGACCATCTCAATGGTATTGATTCTAGGCCGTTTTTGATTTGTGTGTCGGACTGGCTCCAGTATTCCTGTAAGAACACAAGCCTTTCACCATCCGTCGTGTAAGGAGCACCAGCAGGGTCTTCGACAATAAGCGCACCAGTGGCAGTGCTAGCTTGGAATCCAACGTGAGAGTGATAATAATACGTTCCCGCCGTGCCGCTTTCTGCCTTCAATTCATAATCAAAGAAATGCTTTGGTGGAATAGGCCATTGACTGGCAAGGGGCGCACCATCAGAAAAGGGGTATGCGGCCTGGGCGAGACCGTGCCAATGCTTATAGGATGGTTAGCATCTCCAAGTATGACTGCAAGGGGTTATATGCTTATCGCGGCGTACAATGGTTACATTGTCGTTTTCGATGTCGTTGTAGACGCGAATCCAGATCGTCTTCCGTTCAGGAATTCGTAGAGTTGGTCCGGGCAGAGAGTTGTTGACCAGTGTTGTCTCCCTATACATGCCACCGATACTGATGTTTTGACGAGTTACACTCAACACAATGTCAGGCGTGAATGAGTCGTCGTGGCTATGCGCTTGCAGTGACAAGACTGGAACTGCTGCCAACGCCAGCGTAGTAACAGTTCTCCTGAGCCATAGCATGATGACTACAACAGTTGGACCAGGTACTCTGACAAAATAAGGCTGGAGCTGGACGATGCGGGATTGGAATGGTCAGAGCTTGACCGGAAGAGCTGACTTGACGGCCTTTATGTATGTTTTCTCTTCAGCCCATTCCAGTCTGCTCAAGGGACACACAGGCCTAGATTCAACGGTGCCAAGGCGTCAACGACGTTTTCAGGAACCAGCTGCGATAGTATTGAGTGAGTTACTCCTCGTCCCTCCTCGTACAGAGAAGGCGGAGATGCGAGTCAAATGCAGCACCATGTTTCCAGGGGCTACTAGTTTCCCGTGCCGTACCCAAGACGGGGCGCCAACACCAGACTCAATAAACCAAGACATTGATCTCCGATGCGGGTCACGGGTCCCGGTCAACTCGGGCCGCGCGAATCGATTAGCTGTGCTATACCATGGGGAAATAAAGTAGCATTTAATTGCGGTTCCCCGAACGTATTACTACAGATGCGTTCGCAATTGGTCTGGCCGTCTCGATAGCCGATCGAGTTTACTGTGGTGCAGGTCGGTGTATTGTGTGCACTTCTCTCCAGCACAGAAACTTTCTCAGAGCCGAGCCGACGGTCCGCCCGCTCAGCGTTAACAAGGGTTTCTCACATGCGTCTTCGTCGCTGTTTGGGTTTGAGAAGCGAGGAATGGGTTCTAGGCCCAAGTGGATGTTGTGTATCGCCCCCAAATCGGCACCACGTACTCTTCTCTGTCTGTTCATCGCATCAGGTCCCATCTCCGTTGACTCAAGGGCATTCTCATGATTTCCCCTTTCCTGAGCGGAATGATAATCAGACTCATTTTCAGCTTGGTCTGAGCCTTGCCACGCCTGGCCAATCCAACGTTGGGCGGAGCCAAGTGAGCTGATGCTTAAAGCTCTCCCCCACTCTCAATGCGAGATGACGATAGAAACATTGGCGAGATGACGAGGGATACTATTAGGCAAACGACCCGAGACTGTCGGCATCATTTTCGAGGGCGGCAACAGGGTGCTACTGAAGCTTCCGACCCTGTGTAGCTCGTCAAGGACCTTCAAAATCATGCGAGGATGGCTCTGGATAGCATGTACAATGGGTAAATACGAATTTCGGAAGATTGTGAGATGTGATGAAGGCTTGCCTGCGTGAGTTATACAGTCCAGACATGTGAGCAAGGCCGGACACAAGCCCGCCGCTGGGCTCGTTCAACCCAAGTCCATGCATGTGTTGGGATTCTTATGACCACAGTTTAAAGATTCGTAGACCACGGACCAAGGGAAGTTGAAAACGAAAGACATTTGTGAAGACGGCATGCGGTTCAAGCAAATAGTCGCTCCTTCCACACTAGAGTAAGAAGAAGTGGGGCAGCTTTTGTCACACAGTATACTCCGTAGGTAGGGGGAAATACTCCGTAGTAGCGTACACATGTGGCCATGCCCATTTTTTGTGTGACACCTGTCGCACAGATAAAATGGGCGTAAACACACATTAGAATAGTACGTTGCATTTTTCGCGCGGTATATCCTCTCCAGCATTGACGTGGAGGGAACACTCGGGAATTTCTGCTGTTTCTTGAGCCGCGAATATCTTTCATGCATGGATGACGAGTACGGAGTAGTATGCTGCATGTGGTGATCATGTTGTCCCTGCTGGCCTACTCATAACACACCTACGTCTGGCACACACGTAGTGCTGATGGGTGCGGCAACATCTATCTTCATGCGGTTCCTCATGCCAAGGGAGAGGGCGAGAAACGAGGAGACAAGGCTTCTAATATGGAACAACACAGGACCAGCCAATCCCAGGTTCTTGTTCGGCAGGGAGTCCACGTGGAATTTGGCTCTGCGCTCCGGATTGCCCAGTTTCTCTGCATTGCATGAAACCATGGCTCGGGATCTGGAATCTAATCAAGAAAGTTGGAATTCGCCGTGTATTAAACAGGCCAGGGTCGGGTGAGCACAGTCTGGCGTCTATGACGGTTTGCATAAGACGGATTCAGAATGTAAATCCTTTCATTCGATGATGACACGTGGTAGGTCGTATATTGCGTGGGTTGTGTCGACGGCACTCGGTACTCCGCATAAAAAACTCCGTTGTGTACGGATCAGAGTAGAAAACCTCCATTGATCCAAATCGAGAACACAGGTCAACAGGTGGAGAGTCCCGATAGTGGGGCGAAGGGGCGAATCTTTCATCGGAGCCTGCCGATATGCGACATCTGGATGCTTTCGCTCACCAATGCTGGGGCAAAGGCCTTATCGCAGTTGACAGCGCCGGCGATGGATGCCCCGTAATGGCGGGGTATGGCCCCTGTTGATGCCGTTGACCCCCCCCACCCTCTGTGCTGCCCCGCGTTGGCAGGCGCGCCCGGTGTGCAATTTCAACTTGCCTGGTGCGATTGCTCAACCACGGCCGCAACGCACTCTACTACCCCCGTCCGAGTTTCGCACATGGAAGTCGTTCCTAGCACCCGTCAAAGCTTCCCACTTGACGTATCCACTGCCTGCGGTTGGGCACATGGGAACACGGCCATTGCTAATCATCAATCTCAAATTGACTCTGCCGAGATATCTGGGTACGTAGCCTACGTCAGTTGACGCCTACTAGCTCAACGGGACAAGCAACCGTCGCATGTACCTTGTTCCTTGTATCTTGTACTCCGTCCGCCCTACCAGTTTCCCAAACCGTCGCCACCCGCCATCTATCATTTAGGACCACGCCGCCGTCCCTCACATCTCCAATTTGCTATTCCTTTCATCCAGCGTCCTCAAACTACAAAGTCGCTGCGACCCCTCACCAGTAATACTTGACGGGCTCGCCTCTACTCTGTTAGTTTTGTGCCGTCCCTAGCTGGTCCTTGCGCATACTCGTTTCTTTGTCTTTGCTTGTACTGACAGGTGCAACGTCGCATCATCAGTGAGTTCATCAGCCATGGCCCCCATTGCTGTCTCACCCGAGCGGGAGCTCCTGCCAGAGACTCTGGAGGCTCTGACGGCCAAGTTTGACGATACCTTGCGCTTCTATCTCAACGGAACCAAGGTCGTGCTGGACGATATTGATCCTGAAATCACCGTCTTGGAGTATCTTCGAGGTATAGGACTGACTGGCACCAAGCTGTATGTCGTATCCGCCTACCTATTCCATTACAACATTTTGAAGCTTGTGTGAACAAACTTGACTGATACATCTGGATGTCTTTCACAGCGGCTGTGGGGAAGGTGGTTGTGGTGCCTGCACAATCGTCGTCAGTCAATATAACCCTACCACGAAACAAATTTATCATGCTAGTGTAAATGCCTGTCTAGCACCGCTGGTCAGTCTAGACGGCAAGCATGTCATTACCATCGAAGGCATCGGCAACACAAAACGTCCACATCCCACACAGGAACGTGTGGCCAAGGGAAATGGTAGCCAATGCGGTTTCTGCACTCCTGGCATCGTAATGAGTTTGTATGCTCTTCTCAGAAACAATGAAACACCAACGGAACACGACGTGGAAGAGGCCTTTGACGGGAATTTGTGTCGATGTACTGGATACAGGCCTATTCTTGATGTCGCTCAGACATTCAGCGTCGAAAGGTCCTTCCCCAACGGCCCCCCAAAGTTAAATGGAGATGCCGGCTGCTGCAGGCAGAATGGAAATAACAATGTGCAGGCCAGCGATGCTAATGGATGCTGCAAGAGTGATACCAATGGGACTCTTTCGGAAAATTGTGCTACCAACAACAGTACGACCAATGGTACTGATAAAGCATCTCAGATCAACGGCGACGGGTGTTGCATGCAAAACGGTGGTCGATCGCCGTCTGGCGGTTGCTGCATGCAAAAGAAGGGACTGGATGATCAGCCCATCAAGCGATTTACTCCCCCCGGCTTTATCGAATACAACCCTGACACAGAGCTCATTTTCCCTCCGGCACTGAAGAAACAAGAGCTTCGGCCCTTGGCTTTCGGAAATAAGCGAAAGAAGTGGTACCGACCAACTACCTTGGACCAGCTTCTCCAGATCAAGAGAGTTCACCCCCAAGCCAAGATTATTGGCGGAAGTAGTGAAACTCAGATAGAAATCAAGTTCAAAGCTCTCCAATACCCAGAATCAGTTTTTGTTGGCGATATTGCTGAGCTTCGACAGTACGAGTTCAAAGACAATCACGTTGAGGTAGGAGGCAACGTCACTCTGACAGACCTGGAAGGCATCTGCGAAAAAGCGATCAAGTATTATGGCCATGAACGAGGTCAGGTATTCGAGGGCATCCTGAAGCAGCTCAAATTTTTCGCTGGACGACAGATCCGGAACGTTGGCACTCCAGCTGGTAATTTAGTCACCGCGTCACCCATTTCTGATCTGAACCCTGCTCTATGGGCTGCCGATGCCGTCCTGGTAACCAAGTCTGCTACCAAGGAAACAGAAATTCCCGTATCACAATTTTTTACAGGGTATCGCCGAACAGCTCTTGCCCCAGACGCCGTCATCGCCTCCATAAGAATTCCAGTGACCGCCCCCAAAAATGAGTTCTACCGATCTTACAAACAGGCTAAGCGAAAGGATGATGATATTGCCATAGTCACAGGAGCGCTGCGAATCAAGTTAGACGATCATGGCATTGTTAGTGAATGTAACTTGATCTATGGTGGTATGGCTGCTACTACTGTTGATGCCAAGACGGCAACCGCCTACATGGTTGGCAAGAAGTTTGCCGAGCTAGAGACCCTCGAAGGAGTCATGAACGCCTTAGGTAGCGACTTCGACATGCAATTCAGCGTTCCTGGAGGCATGGCATCTTACAGAAAAGCCCTCGCTTTTGGCTTCTTCTATCGCTTTTACCACGACGTTTTGACGATTCTTGATGGTCAGAGCGAGCATGTAGACAAGGAGGCCATTGATGAAATTGAACGATCGTTGTCAAAGGGAACAATCGACGAGACATCAACTGCCGCCTATGAGCGAGAAGTCACGGGCAAGGCCAATCCTCACCTGGCTGCACTCAGACAAACTACTGGCGAGGCACAGTACACGGATGATATACCCCCTATGGCGAACGAGCTTCACGGCTGCTGGGTGTTGTCTACCAAGGCACATGCTAGAATCCGGTCAATAGATTACTCCAAAGCTCTGGATATGCCTGGCGTGGTTGATTATATCGACAGAAATGATATGCCTTCGGCAGAGGCGAATAAATTTGGCCCACCCAACTTTGATGAAGTATTTTTCGCTGAAGGCGAGGTTCACACCGCAGGACAGGCCATTGCCATGATCCTGGCGACTTCAGCCAACAGAGCTCAGGAAGCTGCCAGAGCCGTGAAGATCGAATATGAGGAGTTGCCTGCTATCCTCACCATGGAGGAGGCTATTGAGAAGGAGAGTTTCCACCCGGTATACCGGGAAATAAAAAAGGGTGACACCGAAGGTGCCTTCAAGAACTGTGACCACGTCTTCACGGGCACTGCCCGCATGGGAGGCCAGGAGCATTTCTATCTTGAAACCAATGCCTGCCTGGCAGTTCCCAAGCGTGAGGATGGTGAGATGGAGCTCTTTGCCAGTACGCAAAATGCCAACGAAACGTAAGTCTATCAGGCCTCTCCCTAAAACTACCCTCCGGGCTACTTACTCTAACAGTCGTGTAGTCAAACCTTTGCAGCCCGAGTCTGTGATGTGCCGGCCAACAGAATCAATGTCAGAGTCAAGCGGCTTGGCGGGGGCTTTGGAGGTAAAGAATCTCGATCTGTTGTTCTCAGCTCTGCCGTTGCTCTGGCTGCCCACAAGACCGGAAGGCCCGTCCGCTGTATGCTCACTCGAGAAGAAGACATGGTGACCATGGGCCAACGTCACCCATTCCTGGCCTACTACAAGGTCGGTGTCAACAAAGATGGCAAGATCCGAGCTCTCGATTTGGACGTTTACAACAACGCCGGCTGGACCTTCGACCTCAGCACCGCTGTCGTCGAGCGCTCCATGTCGCACTCGGACGGATGCTACTACATCCCCAATGTCTACATCCGCGGCCGCATCTGCAGGACAAATACCGTATCCAACACCGCCTTCCGGGGCTTTGGTGGCCCGCAGGGCATGTTCATCGCAGAAACGTATATGGAAGAAATCGCAGACCGTCTTGGCATGCCAGTAGAGAAGCTCCGTGAGATCAACTTCTACGAGCCCCATGGCATCACCCACTTCAACCAAGTCATTGAAGATTGGCACGTCCCTCTTATGTACAAGCAAGTAAAGGAGGAATCCGATTACGATCTCCGCAAAGTTGTCGTCTCTAAATTCAATGACGAGTACAAATGGCGCAAACGAGGCCTCTCCATCATCCCTACCAAATTCGGCATTTCCTTCACAGCGCTTTTCCTCAACCAAGCCGGCGCGCTCGTGCATATCTACCACGACGGCTCCGTGCTTGTCGCACACGGCGGCACAGAAATGGGCCAAGGTCTACACACAAAAATCACCATGATTGTCGCGCAAGCCCTCCAGGTACCTCTCGAGACGGTCTTCATCTCAGAGACTGCCACCAACACAGTCGCAAACGCCTCGGCCACAGCCGCATCGGCCTCATCCGACCTAAACGGCTATGCGGCCTTCAACGCCTGCACACAGCTCAACGAGCGACTGGCTCCGTACCGAGCTAAACTTGGCGACAAAGCTACCATGAAGGACATTGCCCACGCAGCATACATGGACCGCGTCAACCTCTCCGCCCAGGGCTTCTACAAAACCCCTGAGATCGGATACGTCTGGGGCGAAAACAAGGGAAAGATGTTCTTCTACTTCACACAAGGCGTCGCCGCGGCCGAAGTCGAAATTGACACGTTGACAGGAACGTGGACATGTCTACGCGCCGATATCAAAATGGACGTGGGCCAGTCCATCAACCCGGCCATTGACTATGGTCAAATCCAAGGTGCCTTCGTGCAAGGGATGGGCCTCTTCACCATGGAAGAGTCTCTCTGGCTGAGAGATGGCCCCATGGCCGGCAACCTATTCACCAGAGGTCCTGGAGCTTACAAGATTCCTGGATTCAGGGATATCCCGCAAGAATTCAACGTCACTCTCCTCAAGGACGTGGAGTGGAAGGAGCTGCGTACCATTCAGCGAAGCAGAGGTGTGGGAGAACCGCCTCTATTTATGGGCAGTGCAGTATTCTTTGCCATCAGAGATGCCTTGAAGTCTGCGAGGAAGATGGCCGGCGTAGAAGCTACAGTTGGCGCAGACCATAGTGAGGGGTTGTTAAGACTGCATAGTCCTGCGACACCGGAGAGGATCCGGTTGGCTTGTGAGGATGAGATTATGAGAAAAGCGAGAGTACATGCAAAGGAGGGGGAGCAGAGTTTTTTTGTTGTCATCTAGAATAGAAGTCTTTTTTTTTGGGGGGGTACGACCTCATGTAGCGTATGTATGATTGATTCTATGGATACAGAAACGTAAGCCAATGTACATTATAGCCGAGCTCAGCCCAACGATGGCATCCTACCAGAACGGAAACGGGAGGCAAGTCTTTTGAAACATATTTCGTACAAGCGCATGTGATTTCTCCCCGAACGCAGTGGCGTGTGCCCCGATGGCCATTGTCAACGTGAAGAAAGCATGTCATACATTGCCCGCAACCGTGGTGTTGAGCAAGTACGGGATGTGTGTGGGCAGCCGAGGCCGTAATCTCCCGAGGCTGTGCCCGTGTGAAGCCGGAATTATAGGAGAAGCGGGCGCCATTTACTTTCGTCTGTCGTCTGCCAAGCGCTGTGGCCAACGAGCCGGGCGTGAGGCGCGTCACCCAATCAGTCATTGGGCATTTCTACAGCAGCTCGCTCCTGCTGACGATCAATGGCACTGTCTCGTGCGTCTCTGGAGGCGCATTTCACATGGCGGCACTGGCCATCAACATGTGAGACAAGGGAAAGGGCAGAATTTTTGGAGATTGAGGAGAGTTGCACAAATTTGCCTCGTAGTAACTACTCCATATTCTCTCCTCTCGTTTGGCTGAGAAGCAAATCTCCAGCACCCTGGTGGTGAAGAAGGCGGCGCTGAGCGAATCGATTGCATATCCAGAATCCAGAATCCATCCTTGTCTCAAACTCTGCCCGCCCATCAACGTGCTTCTCTTTTCAGCCCCGCTGACTTGCGGTCTCCACTGGTCTGGTGTCAAGACCAAGCCGCAGTCGCATTTTGCAGTCCCGGTCCCCACTGGCCGGTCAAGCTGTGGTGTGCTTCAAGGTCCCAGTCCCCAAAGTGGCCGTCAATTGATAACCAAGCAGCTGTTTCTGGGGTTGGTTCACTGACCGCATTCGCCGATTTGCCCTCGTGCTCATCATCTCTAGCGTCTCCCCGTCGCCGCCGTGCCCTTTGATCTTTCCTTGCACTTGTCGCGTCCCTTCGCCAGATTGCGATTCCAACTCCGTCTTCTCTCACGATACCCGGGGGCGTACATGGCGCTGAAGTACAGCCGCCGCGAGGCTATGACAACGCTTTCCGGATAGTCTGCCCAACCCCCGCTAGAAAAGGTCGACTTGGTCCCGCCGAATTGGCGAACCAGATATCGCTTTGCGTCGTTGCTTCGTTGCACCATTGCCAGCTACACATCCCGACCACGACAGCCCAATATGCCGTATTGCCCCTCGGCGAAATCGTAGAGCGACCAAGGCAAAACATACAGGACGAGGCTGCAACCTCCCGGGAGCAAGTAACGAGACGTCCCGCCCGCTGCTCTGCGTAACGTCAAGAACCAATGGGAGAAACCACCAGCAGAGCATTCGGAACCTCGCCGCCATGATGGACAAAGAAACCAAGGCCGCTGAGCGCGCAAAGGCGGACAAAGCAGACAAGTCCGATGCAAAGGATCGTGATAAAGATCATGGAACGACCACGACCAATTCCAAGAGCCCTAAGAAACGCCGCAAGGTGAACCATGGTACGCATAGCCAACAACTCCCTCTCCTGATGGCGCAATAGTTGGAACTCGCCCACCCGAAGAAATAGAGCGGTGGCCGTCTTCAGAGGAAGTCCCTATCACTTGCTCAACATTAGCTAGCATCGCTCTGATCTTGCGCATGTATCCGAACCCTTGCGCCAAGCATTGAGGCCTGAATCAAGTTCGCTAACCCAAATACTGTCAACAGCATGTGTATATTGCCGGAGATCTGTAAGCCCCCCTCACGCGTGTAATTCTTGACAGGCGGACATCAAGTACACAAACTTCCTCTTGTTTTTGGCTACATGCCGAGCGGCTCCCTCTCCTCTGATCCCCGAATCGTTGGGTTGGGATAAAGTGAAACTTGCCGCTGTGACCGTCCTGTCTGTCTCATTATCGAACGAACGTTTGGGCTAACTTGCTCTTCCCGTAGCACATGACCTGCGACCTTGTACGTATACATGAGCCCCATGGGCGCGCCGGAAACTTGAGCGCGCCATACGATTGCAACTCAGATGGCGGCAACAAGCCGTTGCCCCCAACCGCAGCCCCTTATCTTCATAGGCCTGCGACGCCACTAACGTTGTGTACAGGAGAGACCATGTACAAGGTGTATCAAGCGTAACATTGGCCACCTTTGCCATGACGAGCCCCGTGATGCGGACGCGAAGAAGACGAAAAATGGCAAGACTTCAGCTCCCGTAGAGGAGTCTGACACCCAGTCACAAGCACCATCAGACGTGGGCCGTAGTTCGATATCAAGCAACATGGGCCCACCGACATTCGACGGCATGCGGCAGCGCTCTGCATCAGGATTCAGCGCTGGTGGTGTTCTCGGTCAAGGAAATGCAATGCCGTTGGTAACACCGAATGCCAGCTCAGGCTTACAAGGGAACGGCCTAAACAACAGCGGCACAGGCAATGCGAATCAATGTGAGTTGATGCCCAGTGTATCCCAAGTCGTCCTCGATCGCCCGAGGGCTCCCCTCTTCTACCTTCGACAACCATTAGCTTTTCATTCATTCTCCAAGACGTTTGTTTGTCTTACGATTAGAAATCATGGGGCGTCGTGCTAACTATTACGTAGTTTCCGGAATCTCGGATGCTTGGCTCACAGCACAGAATTTCAATGATATGAACTCCTACAACCCAAACTACATGATCGCTCCCCATGTTACACATGAATTCAACTTGCTCAACGACTTTCTCCACAACGGCTTGTTAGATGATAATAATCTGACTGGAGACGAGACTAGGCAACTTACGGCTCTTGGGCGATTAGGACAATCTGACATGCTGTCAGGCTTTGGAAGCAGTGCTGGCCTATCGACAGGCGGGTCAGCACCGTCCACCAACCTCCGAGGCAACTTAATGCCACCGCCACCAAGTGAGGGCAAAGGAGGCAGAAGGTCGGCTAGTTCGACTGCCGACAAGACACGGGAATATTATCTCCAGGCTGCCGATCCATCCGGAAACGACACCGCTGAAGACCGCATGGCCCGTGTTCTCCGCGCCAAGATCGATGCGGGGTTACTGAAACCGTTCAACTATATCAATGGGTATGCTCGTTTGGGTAAATACTTGGATGGTCATATAGCACCGTCTTCGAAACAGAAAATCCTTCGAACCATCAACCAATTCCGACCGAAGTTCAGAGAGAAGGCTCAGGGACTGACGGACATGCAACTAATTATCGTGGAGATGTGGTTCGAGAAACAATTGATGGACTATGATCGTGTATTTGCGTCCATGGCTGTTCCTGCCTGCTGTTGGAGGAGAACAGGAGAGATTTTCAGGGGCAATAAGGAGATGGCCGAGCTCATAAATGTTCCCGTAGATCAACTACGAGATGTGAGTACACTTTGCCTTTGTTCTATGGGCTGTACGCAAACTGACCGTTTTAAAACTAGGGCAAAATTGCTTTGCATGAAATTCTGACTGAAGATTCTATGGTTAGATATTGGGAAGAGTTTGGCACAATTGCTTTCGACCCTGCCCATGATACGTTATTGACGGCCTGTTCATTAAAGAACCCTAGCGATGCGTCAGATCACCCCGTCGTGAAGTGTTGCTTCTCGTTCACGATTCGTCGTGACGACCATAAACTGTGAGTACTACACATCACTTCAAGGCAATATGTTGGCCTTCGTGTCCTAACAGTGTGAGTAGGCCCGCCTTGATCGTGGGCAATTTCTTGCCTCACGACCCCCCACCGAATTAATTTGTAGGCGTCGCCACACTAGTGCAAGGTGAGACTTTGGGGGAGACTCTGTTTGGATGGCGCAAGGTTTCGGATCGCTCGTCGTGTTGTGTTTTAACCGGACCAGGTATCCAGTGGGCTATTGGTTCTGTATGTCGGCTATCGAGGCGTTGGCTTAGCACAGGTGGCTCTACAGCCAAGTATTGAATAAACACCCGCGTTGCAATATATTTCTAGAAAAGCACCATACAGGAAACAGTTCTTGGTGTTCTTCGAAGCTGGGACGCGACATCTGGACTTGTGGACAGTTGGGGCTGATGGGGCCAACTGGCCCTTTTGGCTTCATTCAGTTTGGGAAGGAGCGACCAGACCACACTTCGCTAACATGTCGTATCACTCCAGGAAGCGACATTCTGCACGCCCATGGTAGAATGCAACGATTTCATCGGCCATTACAACACTGCGTCCACGAGTTTAAGCGAGTAGGAAAAAAGCCTTGCATGATTACATTATACCATGGAGTCTTTTCATTCCAACGAAAGGAAGATTGAAAACTTGATAGGTACATGCCCACGCACAAGGGTGACCTCGACTGACTATGGAACTTGACTGACCGTCTTATCGTATGCAGAACTCTCGACGACGCTTCAGACTGTGCTAGCAAGCCATATATCCGATCATGATATTCTTCTTGGCCATGTGGAGACGGGCCTACACACGGCTACTTTCTGTATTTCAGCACCCACCATCATCAGTTCACCCACTTTGAAAAAACTCGAAGCCCACAGTCGGGTCCTGTGGAAGTTGTGCGTGAGACGAAGGCGGGATATGAAAAAGGAGACCTCGGCAAGCAATATGCAGAGACTTGTTCTACACTCCTGGCTCCTGGCCTTTCTGCTCTTCCATCTAAGCAGACTGGGAGCGACGACAAGTGGAAATAGTGTCTTCGAAGCAGAGTACTTGCTGGAACTCGTATTACCAGTCACAGCTGCCAGTATGAATGATTCTGAGCTTGGTGTTGCGAGACTCGCTATGCAGAGAGGCGCTACCTACGTAAATATTCTTGAGTCCACGCCAAACACGCGGGATTGCCGTAATCCACAAGCGACCCGACTTCAGGCTGCATATTATTCTTTGAGAATATTGTTAGTATGTATTTGAGACTTAAGGCATCCGTTGAGTAGCTAACAGTCTAGTCGTGGAAAGAGGACCGGTTGGATGTGGCCGAGCACATGTTCAGCAAAATCGACCCGATTCGGCGAGACCTCGATGACAGTTCAGTCGAAAACTTAGCCAATGTTCTCCAAAATGTTGGCACAGACCTAATTTCCAAACAAAACCTTGAATCGGGGCTTAATTGGCTCAGAAGAGGACACCATCTCCTCAGCTCCAAAACCGGCATTTTGTCTCCAAAGGCTAAGCATCTACATCTCGCCATATGCAATATAATAATGCAAGTTATCACAAAAAGCAATCTGCAGGAGAGCATAGGGGAGGCTAGAAGCATTTTGGATAGTGTTTTGTCACGAATTGGGGACCATCCAGTCCTGCTGCATTGGCAGTTGGTGATATTACACGTTACTGACGAGTGTGGCTTTTCCGAAGAAGCCTATGCCAGCATCATACAGCGAATGATTCTATCGCCAGGGTTTTCAGAAAACACATTTCACCTAGCGCTGGCTCATCTTGTACGACTTGGAGATAAATGTTCCCCATCGGAACTTCTTGACGAGTTACTTTTCCGACACGCACTCCCAGGCGAGAATGCGATTTGGCTCGGCAAAGTTGTCTTTCTGCGGATATGGACAACATTCAACGTGATATATAGTCATGAAGAATACCGAAAACTTGGTGATGTTGTCGAAAAGGTTCATCAGTCTATCCGGAGACACCTGTCATGGGTGGAAGTGGAAGCATGCCAGGCGGTATGTTGCCCCGGCGCGACATTGATTACCAGTGTTAATATATTCAGCTTATTTGGAAGGGTACGGAATCACTTTTTTCAGCAAGGCGATATAAAGAGGTCGAGTTCTGGTGCCATTTAGCTCTTTCACCTTTATTTCGCATGAACGATACATCTGGTCTTGGACGGTTTGTCAGAAGACTGATTATCTGCGGAATAAAACGAAACAATGTCCAAGAAGTGTATGAATCACTCAATGGTTTGCTTCCAATTTGTCAGGGTGATACAGTATTGATACATTTCGCCATGTTCAAAGTGTCTCTGCTCAGCTAGGATCACGAGCTAGGCTGCAGCAGCTTGAAAGCAATGGCCGCTGAAAACGATGCTAACCAAATTCAAGACTTATTGTATGCTTGCTTTAGTGAGGCCCAAAATGCCGGAGACAAAATGTGTGCTTTAGAAGCACTCAGAGCAATTTTCGAACAACTGAGCGAAGGTTTTCCTCCATCTATCAATGTGCCTCTTTTGTTGCGCTCCGCTTTAAGGATGATGGAGACGCCTGATATGAATCATCATGAGCTCGGCGGATATTATAATAAATCACAATTTGTGGAAGATATATGCTGCATCTTCGAAATAGGTATTTCGCCCCCTTTAATTCGTGGATTTATTAGCTAATTCTCTAGCTGCAAAATACGCAAAGCCCAGGCAAGAAGCGATTAAGTCATTTCCAATCTCTGAATTAGACTGGTTTCGCAAAAACGCATATAATATGGCCATTCTAAAATGCCACGAATGGCAAGAAGACAACATCATCAGGCTTTCCAGCTCTTGCATATCCTTTGTATCATGCTACCCGCCCACAATCTCAGCTCACCAAGCCAACGAACTGGCTTCAACCCTATTGAGATGCCATTTTCTCATCTCGGTATGTCTATTAAAACAAGCGCAGCGTTGTAAGGATCTACCAAAAATGCACCATTGCTATGCAGAAATTCGACACCATACAACAGAGTACAAGAACATCTTTCACAGTTCCACAATAACAGATATCATCCTTCACCAAGACCTAGCTAGCAAAATGACCACCCTCTTAGTCTATGACTTTGAAGCAGCAATCTCGCTTGGTCAATTCGAAGATCTTCAAACAATCATAGGCAACGCGAAACTGTATAAAGATATAGAAGCCTTTAAGTGCCTGGGTGATATTCTGCTGCAGTACCCAATTCCAGCCCAAGGTACAGTGGAAATTTCCTATCTGACTCTTCTCATCCCAGTTTTCGAACATCTAGCTAGAAAAGATTTAACACACCTCAGTCCTTACCACAACGCTCAAAACAATCATCAACGAAATCCACAGACTAGAACAATTTAACGCCGCAAAACTATGTAGATATCTGCGCATCATCCTCCAAACTACCGTCTCGGTTAATGATACTGCGGCACTCCAAATCATCGGTCAAATAATAAAAGTCGCTCACGAAAGCCGCGAGGCGGGCACTTTGTTACCTCGGGCGGACCTGGAGTGGATAGCCGCCATCACGTTCAACCATGCGATTGATTACTATGCTCTCTCAGAAGAGACGTCCTGTAGAGTCTGGGCTGCCAAGTCTATGGAATTGGCCGAATACCTAGATGACAGAGGGAGGCTGGCAAAGATATTGAGGGACAGGTTTGGCCAACTACGTTTTGAAAGTGAAATATGTTCATGGCAGGTGGATAAAGCGGCATCATAATCAACTCCACACAGTCAGGTTGCTTCAAAAGAGGGCTCGCGTCTGTTCATGGGGTTTATGACATCATATCGATTCATCAGACGGCATGTACATGTATAGCTCATATAGACTTTGCCCACAAAATATATACATCCAGCGGTAGCGACAGCCAGAACCTAAGCATTTGACATATCATATCGTAAAATAAGGGCAACTGTCGTGTTCGTGGTCTGCTCAAATTATAAAACCAGACTGGAGAGAGCAACCAAACACAAGAAAATTTGGGATACAGTCTGTGGCAGAATATATTTGCCCACCAAGAAGTATACACTAACATACTATAATATATTATAGTATAAAGCGCGATAGCCAGGCATATGACCTGGTGAAAATACTTTCTGCCTCCCACTGTACGAAAACGGAGGGGAATTAGCACAAAAGTGTTGAGAGCAATCATTTCATAAACAAGACAGCCGCACATATAAGTTCCGTGGTATCTCCAAGCTCTTTGAAAAATGCCGACCAAAATGACACTGCCAGCTATGACACGCATCCAAAGGAATAAAGAATGCGACAAAAAAAAGGGGGGGTTGGGGACAACGTGTAACAATGGTTACAATTCCCTCGGTGCCCCCCAATGAAAACAACACAAGATGCTGGGCTAATGCCTCTCCTTCTGTGCTATGCAGTGCAAGATAAAACACTCTGCGCCAAAATCAAATAATGTTCGCGATGCTAATGCGTTCGGCGCCTCGCTTTGGACCAGGGGGGTTAGCATCGACTCGATGACCAACAGAGTATCGGGATGTCTCGGAAAGTCTTGGAAGCTCGACGTTTGCGATGGGCGATTCGCTCTTCACCTGTGGGGGCGGTAAGGGAGGCGGGTATGGCACGTTTACCGATCCTATGCCGCGAGCCATTGATTCCAGTCTGGTCCATCCAACCCAATCTCTGCGCTCTTCTTCGTTCAGTCCAGTTCTTTGTTCAGAGCTGAAAAGGACTTTCTCGCTTGTGCCGGGATGGCTTTGAGAACCCATTCCTGTCTTCGGGGAAGCCGTATCGAAGTCCTGGAACGACCAAAGCCAGGACCGGTTCGGAGAAGCTTGAATATCGGTGGAAACATAAACTAGCAACTCCTCATCACGGGCGAGAGACAAATTGAGTTCTGTCTGATCAATAGATGACCGACGGGATACGTAGGATGCGTAGTCGGTACGCTTCACACCCAAAGTCGTAATGAAAAAGGCTAAAAATCGACCACACGACATCGAGACGTCACGCCGAGCATCGATAGCAGCCAGAGCTCTGATACAAACAATGGCTTGATCAAGATAGCCGGTTAGCAACAAAAACAACGCTGAGCGGAAGATGTGCACAGTAAGAAGTGCTGTTGCTCCATCCGCCGGGGACTTGGTTCGATCAATCAGAGATGCAGTTTCCAAGGCGACATGGGTGCAATTCTCTACGGCGGCGAGGCGGGTTTCCGGTGAACAGCTTGGCGACAAGTTGTGCCTGTGAAGCAGCAGTCTGGCATGGAAGAGATAAGCAAGGGGAGCCAGAAAGTGAGGTGCCAAGGGCACAGCGCTGCCGGGCTCACAAGCGGGAGGAAATGTGCTGAGACATTTGTTGAAGTGGTTGTCGAACGTGGTCAGCTGAGTCGCAGAGAGAAATGGCTGATCCAACGCCTTTACCAACGCTGTATATGACCGCACTACGTGAATCACCGCCAGTAGCGAATGCGTCAAGGGCTCCGCTCCATTGGGTATACGCGTACCGCCTTCGCGGAGGTACTGATCGTCCACGGCTACCGGTAACGACACATCGCAGTCAGCATCGTCAATGAGAAACGGGTGTCCCATCTCGGTCGCCATGGTTCTATCCAAGATGTAGGTGGCCCACCATGTTCTGCGCCGCATCTCTGTGTCGATGGCTGACCAAGAGCCACATTCAGAATAAAGCCCCAAGTCCTGTCCAACGCGTACAGCATTTCCGAGCCAGTTCCAAGCAGCAGACTTCAGATTCATCTCATTGAGGCAAATGGTGATAAGCACGAGAGCTCTCGCATTATCCAGGACGTGGTTATTATTCCATGGGTCCATTGCCTTGCGAGCAGATTCCAGAAACTCGGCTGGTCGATAAAATGTAGCCGTCGTCGGAGCTTCCGGGCTAAACAAGCTGCCCGTAGCAAGAACAGCAAAGAACATGCTGATCCACGCAGACGTGGCGCGTGGAGGATGGACTCTATATAAGTCGTCCACCGCGGATTGAAAGCTCGGCATGTGAATGATGGGAAACATGGTATGAGCCGAGTTGCAGAACGAGTGCAATAGGCGGTCTGTGACGGTCTTTGGAGGCAACTCTGGCGCAGGGCATTCAAGAACCGATGTAGCATATATACGGTGCTGTGAGGGTGGCTGCCATATGCCCTTGGAGAAGTTTCGCACATGAAGCCTAGCTCTCGTCAGCTCGGGATTTGGTGGGAGTCGCTTGCGTAGCTTCGGTGCAGATGCAATGGATGGTAGCGCGTCTAAATCAATGTCCATGTGACCTTCTCGCTCTTGCAGGAGTCGGCGTAGGGTGGAATTCTCGCGCTTAATTTTCTCGATTTGCTTTTCCAAATCCTGCACCTGCTTGATAGAAGACATTCTCCTATTGGTCTCCTTGGTGAATTGACACTTGACGTTTCGGCTGGAGCATTCAGAGCAACTGGTGGTCTCTGTTGCATCGCATTTGACCTTTCTTTCACGGCATGCATCGCAGCTGGGGTCCTTTCTTCGCTGTCGATACGCCCTCTTCTGGGCTTGGCCACCAGGTGTTCCAGGCAAGTGTCCATGGTTTGGACCTTGCCCAGCCATAACAGCTTCTGCAGATGGGAGGGACTCCCGACTCATGACCGGGCCGTAAGGGAATCCCTGGTTGACCGGCGGGAGAGGAGTCATGCCAAGTGGCTGCGGGCTTGAAGCTGTGTTGTTGGGCCTCGAGCTAGCACCAAGGAGACCCCCCAAATACCTTGACGGCGGTCTCGGTGAAGTAGCGGAGGAAACTGAAGAGGAGTCATATGACCTTGTGGATGGGTTGGGGGATCGAGCATATGGATTGTGCGACGGCTCTGCCATGACGATGTGGTATGAGCTCGACGGCACCGACACTTCCAATGTTCCCCGTTTCCTCCGGCTCGTTGAATAAGTGGTTTCTCTCAGGCCGTCGGGCTGAATGCTAGGGAAATTTTTGTAAAAAAAAAAAAAAAAAGATAAACGAGCACACACACTGTTGTCTGCGGTATCTTCAAGACGGCAGGGTGCAGCGAGTCACTCAAATTGGTGATTGGGGGTCCAAGAGTCTTGTGGTGAGGATCGCAAAAGGATGGAGTGGCTTGCCAGAGCTCGGAACAATCAAGATGCGACAAGATGCAAATCTCGCTTCGCTAGTCAACGGTTCTGTTCAAGTTCCGTCGCAGTGGTTGGTCCAGGCTACCCGTCTGATGAGAAAGCCGGCAAAATGAAAGCGGTGCAAAGCGGCGCAGGTCGAGTTCCGTCTATCCGGTTGCGCTGCAGTTCTTGTGCGACTTGTCGACAGCGACCTCCGACGAGATGCGCCAAGGAGCGACACAGCTGTGATTCTGGCCCGGGTGCGCGCCAGCAGCCAGAGCCAGGACTAGTGGTGAGCGGCGGATACGATGCAAGGAAACCGTCGTCGACGAGCAATGAGGCCGGTCTGGAAATCGCTGCTACGCAGATTGCGGGCAAGGCGGTAGGCAACACTCTGTTGTTGTTATTGTTGTTGTGATGTGCGTGTGCGTGCGTGCGTACGTGTGCGTCCGGTGTGTGCGTGGTGAGACTTTGCTCAGAGATCAGAGATGGCATCTGCCTTCTGCAACTATGCAGCCCAGCTTCGAGCCGGCGGGCCGTGAGAGGTACCTGGGACCGTCTCAGGAAGAGTCGATGTCCTTGCTTCTTTCGCTTCGTGCTTGTTCGGCAAGGAGCCCGCAAAGAACTCGCAGGCGCAGGCGACCAGAGGCGAGGGACTGGGCGACCTCGGAGTCTGGAAAGCCCTACTTCTGGTACGGAGTAATGGTGAACAAGGACCAGGCTGAGTCGCAGACCAAGAAGCAAGCGAAGGCTCAAGTGCTCTTCAAGTTCCCACGGTCCAGGCTGGGAAAGGGCAAGCAAGGACTCGAGGCCTGCGCTTGCGCGGACGAAGTTGTTTAGTACTTCTTGGAGCAACGACTCGCTATGTCCTGCTAAGTCCGTCCCAGTCCACGCACCCAACTACCTCGTGGCTACTCGGGAGACTGGAGAAGACGGAGAGGACGGAGCACAATGGGAATGTAGTAGTACTCCGTACCATCAGCATGCCCAGGCACTCAGCTCTGCGTAGGCGCGAAGGCACGTAGGGTACCAGGTTGCCAGGATAATGCCGCTCGCCCGTGACGACCTGGGGCTCTACGCCATTAAAACAAAACTCGGGGAATATTATCTGCGCATACATGTGCACATGAAGAACTATTGGCCACGTCGAGGGGCCGTCGAAGGTTTGTCGAGCAGACCCTGCTCCGTCATCCTTGCCTTGGTCCAATCTTGCTGACTTCTGGGTCTGGGTCACTCCGTTCAAGTGCCCGTGTCTGGCCAGGGCTCTGATGACCCTACCGAGAACTGAGCTGTGTGCTTCTTGAGCGATATCAGCCAAAGCCACTAACGTGTTTCGCCCCAGCCAGGACTGGGGTGTCCTCGGGCGTGTCATCCACTGCCTGCTCAAATGCCATCCATCGCCCTAGCAGCCAACAGCTACCAGACAGCGCCCATCTTAACCTTGTCCAGTATTCGGGAGAGCGCCCAGAGACCCTCTTGGTCTCCGAATGACCCCGTCCTAATATGACTCCCATGCCCGGCGATTTGCAGTGTCGAGCCGACTCGTCTGTCTGTTCTCGTGCTTGTTCCGGTCCTCATCTCCCGTTCCCTAGTGTGGTGTCTGGTGTCTCCCGAGCACCAACTTTACCCTGATTGTCCGTGGCGTGAAGGGGT